TTACAAAGAGAGGAGGTAATATTTTTTCTAGAATTTCACAACAAAATCCCTCTCACAGTGAAAAAATATGTATAATTTTAACAGGAAACTTAAAAGACATTTTGTTGCAAGACTATAACAGTTATAAGAATAATGCCAGTATCTGTGCTCATTGTAGAGGAACATAACAGCAACTTTACAAAACCAAGTATACTGATACGTGAAGATGAAATTTCTTTTCAGCAACCAGTATGCCAACATCAAACTGCTGGATTTTATTCAACACTAGCGTTACGAGTTTCTCCTAACCCAACCAAAACTCCTGCCAAATGTCCACAAAACTCACACCAAAATCAAAAAACAGAAAAGAGAATTAAAAGAAAGAAACTTGACAAGAGCTACCATGCAAAAAACCAGCAGAACTGGAGTTCAGTGGCACAGATCAGCAGGAGCAGAGAGGAATGCTGCAAAAGATGATGCCGCCTGGAGTCTAACTTGGCGATGCCCCTGTGATGCTGGACGATAAAGTACACAGGTCACAGGTGGTGTTCGTGGACCCATAAGAACCAGGATCTTGACCCAAACGTTTAAGATCTTCTAAAAAGAAAATACTTCACCTAAATTGAAGTAATATGTAAGTCAAACACCAGAAGAGTTCCTTATTTGATGTAAGTTGTGCCTAAAACTTTGGCTGATACAAAGAAACCCGTCCACTAAGGCACCCAGAGGCGATCTGACAATGTGTTGGAGAGAATTTTGTTGTCAGTACCACATCATTATGAGAGTACAGAGAACGGATCACCCGCAGGGGACTGGCTTCTTTGGGCAAACAGTCAATAAGTTCACTGCACTGTTTGTCAAATCCCAACAAGCGAATCCCATAGCCATGTGGGGAAGAAATCATTCGCCCATCAGGACTGAAGCAAAGTTCTTTGATATAACCTCTGCCTACATTGGCTTCTTCAATGTAATGAGTCAGTCGTAGAGAACAGCGAGGTGAGACAGGCCGCACAGGAGCTCCTTCTTGGAATTCATACACACAAGTCCACTAGGGGAGAGGGGAGAGACAAAGTTATAGAGCACTGTAAATGAAAGTACAACCTTTAAAAATTATGAATAACTCTATTGTACACCTGTAACATAATACTATTGTACAGCAACTATACTTAAATTTTTAAAAATTAAAAACCCTATTATAGAGCTCCAAACAGTGCTATAGATAATCCTTAAAAAAAAAAAAAAAGCTCAACAGAATGCCAAAGGTGCAGAATTGTTACAAGAAATCATTCAGATGAATGCTACTCCTCTTCCAGCTAACAAAACTTGTAGGCCCCATACCATCTTATCTTCATTCATATCAAGGTTATTCTGTACTATGACGCTTTAAAGCCTTTTATTCCTTGAGGCCACTGTGACTTTTGTAGTAATAATTCCCTTTTCCGAGAGTAACAACAATCTTGATATCTGCAAAATTCTAGGGTTAAGACATCCACTAGAATATCTCTCCTACACACTTCAAAGGCTCTTCTGTCCTATTCGTTGTGGCTTCTAGAGCTAGTGAGATCCTTGGAAGACTCCTGCTTTCCAGAGTAATGAGAATTATAAGGTCCTATAAGACCTTTTCCCCTCATCACTTCGGTCCCTGCCTTTCCCAAAGCTTTCCCTGGTTTTTAACAAGATAAAATCATAATAAGTTGGCTAAGCAAAACCTCCCAGTTAGCCAACTTAGCTGAAACATCTCAGTCCTATCTTTTCTATATAAGGGATTTTTTACTATGAGATAAAGGAGGCAAGAATTAAAAAGCTGTGCACAGTGTGAACTGATGACTGCTTTAAGGTAATTCCCTGCTTGCCACACCCAGGGCAGAGAGGAGGAAGAACGGCTTTCAAAGGAAGAAGACACCATGAGCGCACATGGCAATGGGAATCTGTTCAGTCAGCCCTGGTGAGGGTGCTGCCCGTACCTCCTGATCATCAGTGTTGCTTGAGCACCGAAGAAGAGTGGCCCAGCCTTTTGGGTGCAGCTGTAAGGATGTGATGCAGTTTCCACGGTCTCTCTCACCAGGAACTTCAGGGGTTAAGACTTCAAGACTATTTCGTGGTGAAACTCCTGACAGACAAGAAAATTAGGATGTAGAATCTGTATTATCAAAGGTCTAAGGCAGCTCATCAAAGCTTTGATTTCTGGCAGCCACCCTCATGTCTTCCTCCATCTGTCCTTTATGCTACCACATAAAATCATGGTGCCCCTCAATGTATGGGGTGTGAGTGTGTCTGTGGGGTTGGGGTAGGGGGAAAAGGTATGAATAGAACTAAATAATCCAAGTTCCTGCAGCAGGAATCACCAATGACCCTTTAAGGCAAAGGCATTAAAGCTAATGAGGACTCCTTTCAATTTGGACCTAACATCTCAGAAAGCTCTTTATTTAAGTAACAAAGTTAGGTGACATGAAAAGAATCTGGAAAAATAAAAGATAACAATTCTCATCTCAGAGGACCTGGCGCTCTCTAGTCCAGAAAAGGAAATACTTGGAAGCCATGAGGATTGCTATTTTGTGTGCAAGGAGCAGGACTTATGACCCCTAAGGACAATACTATCAATAAGTCAACCTATAATTTTGGAGGCTAAGAGAGCACAACTCACACAGAGACATGTGAACACAAGTGGTGGGAGACACTGCCAATGGTAAATATTCCTGGTACTCTGCTGTAGTCAGTCATTTCTTTCTACCTCGCCCCAGTGAAAGTGACTGCCACCATGAACCATTGTTACTAATGGGAGTGTGTCATATCCCTCAAGTATGTGGCGAACCACTTTCATAGACATTGTGAGGAAGCAGCTTAGACATTTACTATCCAGAGAAATATTTTGACACTTCTCTGCCTGTGGAAGTAGTTGCTTTCAAGATAATAAGCTCCCTCTGTCAGACCATTTGTGAATTACTTCTTGCTTAGATGTATCTTCTTTTAAAAGATTCCCTTTAGATTAGTACAGCATTAACAGAAACCAGTGAAGTTATAAGTTACACTGTTACAACCAAATTATACCCAAATAACTATTTCACATATGATTGAACTTTAATAACAATTTTAGGGGAAAAAACCCTATTTTAAGAATTAATTTTGAAAATCTATAAACAAAAGCAGAAAGGAAACTCATTCTGAATAAGTAAGTAGTGGTTTTTGAGCTGTGCTCCTTGGCGGTTCCTCAAAAGCTGAGAAAGGGGAGGAAGCATATGGGGCCAGGGTGGAAATGGGGTGGGGAAGACTGGAGGGTCAAGGGCCTCCCTAACTTCACTTGAACAGTTACTCCACTTTTACTTATGCTACATCCCTAAGAATCCACAGCAGATTTCATGTCAAAAATAGAGTTTGAATCCTGAAATGAATTTGAAAGCCTCTGTTCTATACAGCTATTATATCTGCAAAGTAGGGTGCTAACATAATCTGACACCTGAAGACCCAGGATTTCCAACATTCAGTGCAGCTTTACTTATAAGCGCCACCTTCTCTTTCCAAGCCCCAATTTGCTTCCTCTCTCTGCCTAAGCTACCCATACATCATCTTTTCTCCCATTCTCAACTCTCTACAGCATGAAACTGCTGTATAGTTTTGGTTTGGGGTTTACCACTGCAACAAGTAAGCATGTTAACTATTCTTAAATTAAGTTTCTTTTTCTCATGGGTGGTTTAATTAACTGATGAAGATTTTTCTCAGTGATTATTAAGACCCTTGGCTTGTTTCCTATAGTCAACGTAGGAGGAGGAGAACAGGTAAATCTGCAGGAAGTGTCTGCTACACATCAAGGGAGAAATGTTACACATTCAGGCAAAAATCTCCAAAAGGAGGAAATTTAACCTTAAGGTGAGACATCACAGTCTTCAACATCCAGAGGACAGGATGGGGGATAGGCTATAGGTTAGGTTAGGAAGGGCTCTCAAACGATTCTACTAACCCAAGTAGTCATGCAGAATAATCAAATATGCATTTATTGAGCATTTACCAGGTGAGGCCACTCAGGGAAAACATTAATTAAAAGTGTAACGTATAGTCCTCGCTTTAAATATCTGGGTAGGAGATGTGTTTATTTCCAGTAGGTGACACAAAATTATAAAAAAAACAAAACAACTATTTGGCCATCAGTCCACAAAGAGTAGAACAAACAAGAAGTGCTGTAAGAGCTTAGATGTGGATTAGTAATGAGAGGGATGGTGGGTGAAATTTGCATAGGTGGAAAGCATTTCAATTAGTGGGTAGAAGGAATAGTTTAAGCAACTAGTTCTACCACAGTGGCTGGGGGAAAACTGGCAAAATGTCCAGGTTGTAGTGTACTTTATCCCACAACCCCTCTGAGGCTGCCAGGCATTGCTGAGATAAGGAAGTTCAGAGCAAAAAGCCTTCTGGGCTGGAACCAGGAGACTTTCACAAGCACCTGATAAACTCATCCCCGTATATTTACATAGCAGTCACATGCATAATCTCATTTAATTTTCATAATAACCTTGATTGGAGTCTGCATTTCCCAACTATTCCCTCTCAGACTAAACCAAACTAAATCTAGGAAATAAAGCCAAAATTAAAATTCCAACAAAGATTTAAGCCCAAGATATTCAGCCCCAGAGACTCTGATTAGCTTTTTGAAAATGATGACTGAGGGGCAAGGAATAGCCTCATCTCTTTATTTTTATGGATTAAAACCAAACCAAAGAAAGCTATTTGGTAGAATTTTTTGTTGCAAGATTATAAAATCTAACTTTCAACCTACCTTCTCTTTGAGAGGCCCGTGACATATGTTTCTCAGAAGATGAATTAGAATCACTGTGATGACAAGGTGAATTAGAAACTCTAGGACCAGATGAACTCGACGAAGTGGTAAGATCTTGAAAATACAAAACATTCCAACAGTAAACTCTGGGACTGCCCCATAACATCTATTTGAACCATACTGTTAAAATCCATCTGAAACATGGCAAGTACATATCCACTTAAAGCTGGCCTATAACTAAGACTGAGGTGGGCAGGATAGCTCTTTGGAGTGTTCTAAGGCCTAGCCCCTTTCTAAAACCTTTTAGACCAATGACTTCCTTAAGTGAAATAAAAATGAAAAACTGAATAAACATAGGAACATCTCTGGTTTCCCATCATTTCTGTAGTGAAATGGAACAGGAAAATTCAGCAATGAAAACTGGGCTGTTCGGCTGTTGTTTAATGTTAGAATAGCATCTAAACAACAGGCCCATTATTGAGAACACAAACAGATCCTTCTTAAAGCATACCAACAACTTTTATCATTCCTACTGAAATTATGTGACTACTATCTCTGAAATGCAATACAAGCTTAACATTGAAATCTGTGGGAAAGTAAAATGAATATGAGATAGTCGAGTCTGATGTATTACTCCAAATAGCAGTCTCTATTTCACACTCTTCTGTGGGCCCACACTTCTATGGGGACTTCTTATTAACCTAATTCCCTTTGATGGTATTAAGTATCAGACCACCCTTAGAAGACAGAAAACCTTGGTTTTTAAGCAAAGCATGACTACTAGACCTTCTAAATCACTACTTCTCACTGGGCTAAGGTTCATTATTAATGTTCAATTTTTTTAAATTCTGAAATTAAAAGGACTATACTTGGATATTTATGAAATCCCTTTCTTGCAAATAACTTGGTAAAACTTAAATTTCTACTTTCAGTGGTGAAGTTGGGCAACCACAGTACAATGAGGCCTGCAGACTCCCAAAGAGGTCTTCAGAAGTGGCCCTGTGTATAAAGGAGAAAGATTCCAACCATTTGAAGCTGATTTTTAATACCAATTTATGAACATTAGGTGTTCCAAATACCTAAGTCTTTTTTATTGGGATCTTGTTCATAAACACAGTATTATAAACAATGGATATGTTTCTGTATCAGCTCTTTTTCCTAAAGGTAGATGAAATAAAGTATCACATAATGTAGTGCATAATTTCTCCTGAGCCACAATTTCACTTAAGTCTAATGGAACTGGCAACAGGAAAAGGAACAGGGCTTTAGCAAGAGGATGTTTAAGGGTCATGAGATAAGATGGCACCAGCCACCTGTGTCTGAACATCTGAAAGTCTAGGATGCAGTATAGACTTAAAGCTAAAGTTCTATAGTGACTATAACTCAAAAGCTCTGCTGGGTTCCAGAAGGAATTAAAAAGACTGACACTACCTTGGCCCTTCACTAATTTTTGAGATAATGACAATTTACAAATACTGATGAAAGATCTTCTGGCTGGCGAAGAGCTGAAAAAAAGTATTTTTAGAGTTAGCAGTTACTCTTAGTAGATCATTTGTGATACAGAGGCACATGCTATGTAAGAGATACACACAGATCATTATACTTCCTTAGGATAAAACTCTCACTAAGCTTTCTAAAGAATGCCTTTTAATTTTCTTTCCTTCTTGCTGTCATTCTTAGATAGAAACGTACCATCCCTATATCAGATTCTTTGGAAAACTTTCTTTAATCAAAAAAGGAAAGCTTACCTGAACTTGATGTAGTTCTTCTTGCTCTCAAAATGGGATAGCTGCCTACTTCTAAAGACTTGGTTAAGTCAAGATCATGCAAAATCAAAAGATATCCAGAGGACGTTGAGATCAACATTTTGGAACAATCTGGTGTTAATCTCATTCGCATGAGAAAACGTGTGTGAAAGAATTTCTTATGCGGACACCCATCTTCTGTACACCTACCGAAGAAATCAACAAAACCTAGTTATCATAAATAAAAGTATTTGATGATAGTCATATTTTTGCCCTTCAAACTAGAATTGATACTCAAGGTGTACTCAAAGACAAGAAATTATTTTGCTTACCATTCCTTCTTTCATCTTAAACTTTTTTTTTAGATTATTCTTTCTGAAGTATATTAAGTAAGACTTTGTTGAGGTAAACTCTCATTTTTTTTATTCCAAAAATCTTTCACTCTTTTTGATTAAAGGCTTAACTGAGCCTATAACTTTAGATTTCTTTCTGAATGTTGAGAATAGTGTTCCAGAGCTCTGGCTTCCATTGTTGCTATTTTTACGTCTAATTGTTACTTTGAATAATTTTTTTCCCTTGGCTGATCTTTGTCTTTGGAGTATTGCAGTTTCAGTCTGAAATGTGTAAACTTGGATTTGTCTACACTGGGATTCATTTGACTTTCTAAATCCTAAGATTCATATCATTCATATATTCTGGAAAATTCTCCATCATTATTCCAGTATTGCCTCTTGCCTATTTTCTCTATTCTTTTGGAGCTCCAGAAAGATGTCTGAAACATTCCCATTTGACTCTCTTTGTCTTATAACTGCCCTTTGATGTTTTCTATTCCTCATTTCTTTATGTTTCATTCTGGGTAATTTTTCAATATCTATCTTAATCTATTTTTTTAAGCTGTGTCTAATCTGCTACTTGACCAGTCCTATGTTTTTATAAATTTCCATAGTTGTATTTTTTCACTTCGCTAAGTTCTGTCTGGCTTTTTCAAATATGTCTAGATTTTTATTCCTTGCCTATGTTTTTTATTCCTCATTTTATTTCCTTTTTTGTAATTATTTTTTAAATAGTGAAACATCATACCTACAGAAAAGTACATAAATAAGACATATGTATAGTTTAAAGAAAAATGAACACCTGTGGTGTATCATCCATGTTAAGAAGTAGAACAGTAGCAGTACTTTAATAAAAGTGCCTTGCTTCTCTCTCCTGTTGCATCCTTCCGTCAGCATGCAGTGCTTCAAGTATTTGACAATGTCTTTTTTTTTAATCTCTCTGAGGCTATTGATAGGTTTTTTTAAATTTCAAGTTTTCCTCTCCCTATGTAGTCTCTACTTTTTCCAAAATATCCCCCCATTTTTGTACGTCTTTATATTAGAAGCTTTTATCAACTGTTTGATTACCTTTGGCTGTCTGCTCATAATTAAGAGTGGAGAACTAAAAGCTGACCAGGAAGGGTGAGTGTAAGGGTAGGGCTTGAGCTTCACTAAAGAGAATGAAGCTATTTTTTGAGGAACTCCTAATGTCAGTATCTTTTGTTCTTTAACCAGAAGGCTAAAGATCTCTGAATTCAGTATTCAGTATGCTATGGTCACTCAAATTCCCTGATTTTGGTAAGGTACCCAAGCCTTCAACTGTGTCTGGCATCCTTTTATACAGAGATTTTCTGTTTTACTCTTTAGAGAATAATATTCAAATCTTGATATATTACAATCCTTAGTTATTTTGCTGTACCAGCTTGGACCCTGCCTCCCTCCACCCCAAAACAATAGTGAACAGCAATAGTGATAGTGTATGTTCTCCTCCCTCATTTTATAGAGAAAACTTCTAAAGTTTCACCATTTAAAAATGTGCTATCGGTTTTAGTGCAAGTTTTTGATGAGTTTCCTTCTATCTAGTTAATTAATAGTTTGGTTTTTCTAAAACAGTTTTATTGAGGTATAATTTACATAAAATAAATTCACTAATTTTAAGTGTACAGTTAAATGATTTTTAGTAAATTTACAAAGTTGTACAGTCATCAACACAATCCAATTTTAGAACATTTTTGTCACTCTAAAAAAATCCCTCCTGCCCATTAGCAGTCACTCCCCTTCTTACTCCCAGCCACAGGCAACCACTACTTTCTGTCTCTATAGATCTGCCTATTGTTGACATTTCATATAAACAGAATCATATAAGAAGTTGTCTGTTGGTTTGGCTTTTTCACTTAGCTTAATTTTCTTTGAGTTTCATCCATGTTGTAGCACATAAATAGTACTTTGTTCTTTTTCACTACCACATAGTATTCTCTTGGATAGGTATACCACAGTTTGTTTATTCGTTTACCAGTTAATAAATATCTGGATTGGTTCTATTTTTTGCTATTATGAATACTACTCCTATAAGCATTCTTTGTGTGGACTTGTATGTTCATTTCTCTTGGGTAGATATCTAGAAGTAGAATTGCTGGGACATATGGCAATTCTATGTTTAACATTTTAAGAAGCTGCCAAACTATTTTCTAAAGTGGCTGTACCATTTTACATTCCTACCAGCAATATATGAGGTTCCAGTTTCTCCATACTCTTGCCAATATTTGTTGCTGTCTTAGTAGGTGTCAAGTGGTGTCTTATTTGGGTTTTCATTTGCATTTCTGTTAAGACTAATGATGTCAAACATTTTCTTATGTGCTTATTAATCATTTGTATATCTCCCTCCAGGAAATGTCTATGTAAATTTTGGTCATTTTAAAATTGGGTTTTTGTGTTATGTGTAAGTGTGATTTTTATATATTAATTTTGTATCTCTTATAACCTTGATGAACTTATTAGTTCTAGTAGTTTTGTGAATTCAAGATTTTTTCTATATAAGGTCATATCTTCTACATAAGAAAATAGTTTTACTTCTTTCTTTCCAATCTGTTATTTTTCTTGACGGATTGTACTTCCAGTGCAATTGCCCCTCCATCCAGTACAATGTTAAATAAAAGTGGTGAGAGCAGACATCCTTGCCTTGTTCCCAATCTTAGGGGGAAGGTATTTAGTCTTTCAACATTAAGTATGATTTTAACTGTAGGTTTTTCATAGATGTCCTTTATCAGGTTGAGGAAGTTTCCTATTATTCCTAGTTTTATTTCAAATGGGTATTGGATTTTGTCAAGTGCTTTTCCTGCCTTTATTGAGATGATATATTTATAGACTTTATCAATGTGATATATTAATTGATTTTTAGATGTTAAACCAACCTTGCCTGTATTCCTGGGATAAATTCGACTTAGTTGTGACATATAATCCTTTCTATATGTTGCTAGGTTTGATTTGCTAGTATTTTGTTGAGGAATATTATCAATTTTTTTTGAGGGATATTGGGCTGTAGTTTCCTTTTATTATGTTTGTCTGGTTTGGTATCATAGTAATTACTAGCCGCAAAAAAATGATTTGGGAATTGTTCTCCCCTCTCTTTTCTGTAAGAGTTTGTGAAGGACTGATATTATTTATTCTGTAAATGGTAAAATTCACCAGTGGAGCCTTTTGGGCCTGGGTTTTTTATTGTGGGAAGATTTTTAAATTACCAGTTCAGTTTCTTTATTTGCTATAGATCTGTAGGTCTACAGATTTTATATTTGCTGTTGAGTCAGTTTAAGTAATTTGTATTTGTTTATCTAAGTTGTCTAATTTGTTGCCATAAAGTTGTTCATTATATTCCTTTGTAATCCTTTTAATTTCTATAAGGTGATATTGTCTCCTCAAAACCACTTTTTGATGGGGAAAGTAATTAGATTGATCTATTTACTTTTAGAGGTGGTACTGGGGATTGAACCCAGGACCTTGTGCACAAGACCTTGTGCATGCTAAGCTTGCACTCTACCGCTTGAGCTATACCCTCCCCCTCCCTTTTTTTGTTTTTAATTATGACTGAATGTTGAATTTTATTCTTCAGTTGAGATGTCATATGGATTTATCTATTTTAAGCTGCTAATGTGATAAATTAATAGAATTTCTATTAATAAATATTTTCATTCCTAGAATAAACCCAACTTGGTCATGACCTTTTGATTAATATCTTACAGGATCCAATTGCCCTTTTTCAGACTATTCACATCTCCATTCATATTACACAGATTGACCTTTCAAATTTAGGCATCAAGCTTCATATCTGAGGTAATGAGAATTCCGTTTTTCTGGAATCTAAACAATTTAATAAAATTGTAATGTTCTTTTTCTTGTAATATTTGGTAGAAGTCACCTGTAAAACTGATAGCTGCTATTTTATTAATAGATAGGTTTTAATTGGTATTTTTCATTTCTCTAATGGCTAAGGCAGAGGTGATATTCAGAATATTTAAATAACCAGCACTGCATGAAAACTAGTCAGTCAGAGTTGATGCAGGTGGCAGTGCTGGAACTGGGTTCTGGAATTACTATGTAAGGGGGACTGTAGCTACTAGATCATAGGGACATCTTGAGAGAGGTATCTCTAGCAGAGGGGCCTGGGTAGCTAGAAGGTGTCATGATATGACACCTGCGGGTGATTCAGGATAGTGACTATTCATCAGTTAGTATGGAAGAAGTTCAATCTTAACAACTGTTTCAGCTGAACCAGTGCATAATGGTTAAATATCAGTCCTGGTAACAGGTCTACTTCAGGTTTTTTATTTCTTCCTTGATCAGTTTTGCAAAGGTGTATTTTTTTGAGTAAATATCCATTTCATCCAAGTTTTCAAGTATTTTGACATAAAGCTGATCTTGTTATCTTTCTCTATATTTTTTGTCTCCTTTCTCATTGCTAAGATTATTTATTTGCATCCTCTTTTTTTTCTCTTGATGTCTCTTACCAGAGAATTGCATATTCAATTAGCTTTTCAAAGAACAGGCTTTAAAAAAATCTTTATTGTACTTTCATTTTCTATTTCATTAATTTCTGCTTTTATCATTTTCATACATTTACTTTCAATGGGTTTACCCTTCTTTATCTTTTTCCAATTTTTTAAGTAAGATGTTTAGTTCATTAATTTTCAGTTTATCACTATGATTTTTTTCTTAGAAGTCACCCAACATGGGAATTTTTATTTACCTGTGGTTAAATTGTACTAAAGTCAGGAAAAATGGTTTGTCTGATAATTCTTTGATATTGGTTGAGACTTACTTTGTAGTCCAATACATGCTCAATTTTTGTACATGTTCAAAGTTTGCTTCAGAGGATGTATTCACTATTTGGGAACAGAATTCTACATACGCTTACTAGATCAAGCTTATTAATAAAATTAAAATTTTCTATAGACTTACTAATTTTTAATCTCTTTTATCTATTAGTAAGTGAAACAATGGTGTTAATATTTTCAAGAGAGATAGAGATTTTTTTTCTTGTCCATTTGTGCTTTTTATGGTTTGAGGCTGTTATTAGATACATATAAGAAAAGAATTTTTATGTTCTAGTGAAATAAACCTTTTAATATAATAACTTTTTATCACTAATAATGCTTTATGCCTTAAACTCTATTTTATCTGCTATTAATGTAGATAAAACTTTTTCCTTGCTTGGATATGCTTCTTACAAAGAGCATATAGTCTGTTTTTGTTTTTCAGTCCAATCTAATATTATCTATTAACTAGGTACACTAATCTATATACACTTACTATAATAATTATTGATATTTGGATTATCTGCCTACTGTATTATTTTTGTGCTTCCTAATTTACCTTTTTGTTGTTGTTGGTGGTGAAGTATAGTTGATTTACAATGTTGTGTTTGTTAGTTTCAGGTGTACAGCAAAGTGACTCAATTATGTATAAAATTATTTTTCAGATTCTTTTCCATTATAGATTACATTATATATTACAAGGTCATATTGAGTATAGTTCCCTGTGCTATATAGTAGTTTCTTGTTGCTTGTTTTTTTTGTTATTGTTGTTTTTTTGCCAGCAGACATTATCTGTATTTTTGCTCTTCCCATTGTTCTTTCTTCCCTCTTAATGTTCCAAGAGTGCTGCTTTTATCATTTTTGTTTAGGAAACTTACTTCAGTCATTTTTAAAAAAGGCTAGCATCTAATTCTCTGAGTTGTCTTTCATCTGAAAATGACTTGATTCCCTTTCATTCCTGAAAGATGTTACCACAAGATATAGTATTCTGGGTCAATAGTTCTTTTCTCTCAATACTTGAAAAATGTGTGTCACTTCTTTCTGGCATCCATGGTTTCTGATGAGAGCTTTTTTTTTTTTAATTTAAAAAAAATTGAAGTATAGCTGATTTAGAGAACTTGTTTATTGATCTTTTTCTTTTTAGATTTTATCCTTCTACTAATTTGGAAGTTATCACTTGTAATCTTACTAAGTTTTATTTCTAAACTAAAAATAATTAGCTCTAAATTTGAACATGCTTGTCTTAGTTTAAAGATAATCAGTAGTTCTATGCTTTGCTCAAACAATATGATAGCTAGAAATCTTTAAGACTGTCCCCTCTGTTTTTACATATAAGCTCTAAAAAGAATATTTCAGAAATGATCTTGGTGTATTACTGTATCATCATTTCACCAAAGCTAGCAACAGGAATATTTCAATTATTTCTCAAACTTCAACTCTTTAGATTCTATATAAGGAGATATTCTGTTGATGTGTTTCACAACACAGGCATTACTGACATTTTCAATAGGATGACTAGTCAGTCCACTGGGCAAACTGCTCCATGCACTGCAGGATGTTTAGAAACTCTGGATCCCTGTTGACTAAGTACCAGCAGAAATCCTCTCTTCTCTTGTAGTGACAACTAAAACTGCACCAAACATTCCCCTAAGGATCAGTACCACTCCAACTGAGAAACTACTCTTTTAATGCATGAAAACAAAGTGCCAAAATTACAAAATAAACAGATTTAGAATTAAAGGGCCAAAGACTGCAAAACATTTCAGTTCCACAAAGGAAACAAAAATATTTTTCCTTAAATTCTTTAAATTCAGGAAACTCATAAACCAGTTTTCATCATTAATTATACTACTTGGTCCCCTTTCCACATAATTTTTTTCAAATATTTTAGTCACAATATATGACTAAGTGCAAGTAACAAGATGGAATCACTTCCTGATTGTTTTCCCAAAGCCAGTTTTTCTCCTAAAGAGATATGAGAGATAAGACAGAATGCTGAATTTGTTTACCATCTTAAAAAATTTTTTTGGTGTTCATAATCCAACATGGTTTCCTATTCACAAACCTGTTGGTGTCCCAAATAATGACATTTCCATCAAATCCTGACGTTACTAAGAGTCTTGTATTAGTATCATATTCGATGTTCTTCACCCAGCTAGTGTGACCATGTAAAGTGCATACTTTGGTGTTCAATTTTCTCAGATCCCATAGTGCTATTGTAGTGTCATCAGAGCAGGTAGCAAACAGCCGGTTATCAAGAAATCTACAAAGCAGAAAAGAAAAACTAGTTTATTTAATATCTAATTAAAGAAAACTTGAGAAACAGTCTCTGTATTACCTAATGAAGAAAACAAACCAAAAAAGGACTGTAAACTCACTGTATAAACCCAGCAATTCTGATATATAATAAATAGTAAGTATAATTCACATAATCACAGAAGATACTATGATTTAATGAGGGCCATGTTGCAGTTTTACCCATTTGCTTTACATTATTGATTTTTATTTGAAACTGGAGATAGGGGTGGGTGTTTGGAGAACAGTGCTAGAGAGAAGGAACTTTAGAATCTGTATAGGAAACAAATGATGAGAAACAATTTAATAGGAGACAAGAGATTTTGAAGACTTAATTGCCAAGGGAGACATGTTAAACATAAAGTTATGAGAAATATTTACTCTGCTACAAATAGCATCTCTTTCAATTTAGAGTACATTTCTATATAGAATACAATTATGTAGAAAACTTGCTATTAAAATGCCATAATTTTTAATCTATTAATTCAAAGGCATTCCCCAATCTCACTTCTAGGACAACCTAGAAGAAAGTGACAAATTCTTAGAAAGGTACAATCTCTCAAGACCGAACCAGGGAGAAATAGAAAATATAAACAGACCAATTACCAGTGATGAAAGTGAATCAGTAATTTTAAAACTCCCAACAAACAAAAGTCCAGGACCAGACGGCTTCACAGGTGAATTCTACTAAACATTTAGAGAAGAGTTGACACCTATCCTTTTTTAACTATTCCAAAATATTGGAGAGGGAGAAACACTTCCAAACTCATTCTATGAGGCCAGCAACACCCTAATATCAAAATCAGACAAAGCTATCACGACAAAGAAAAGTAAAGGCCAGTATCTCTGATGAACATAGATGCAAAAATCCAACAAGATATTAGCAAATTAAATCTAACTGTACATTAAAACAATCAAATATGATCAAGTGGGATTTATCCTAGGGGTGCAAGGGTTTTTCAGTATTCACAAATCAATCAACATTAATGCACCACATTAACAAACTGAAGACTAAAAACCATATGATCATCTCAATAGATGCAGAAAAAGCTTTTGATAAAGTTCAAATTCATTTATGATTAAACACTCTTCAGAAAGTGGGCACAGAGGGAACATACCTCAACATAATAAAGGCCACGTATGACAAAGCCACAACTAACATCAAACTTAATGGTGAAAAGCATTTCCTCTAAGAGCAAGAAGACAAGGATGCCCTCTCTTGCCACTTTTATTCAACATAGTATTGGAAGTCCTAGCCACAGCAATCAGAGAAGAAAAAGAAGTAAAAGGAAGTGAAACTGTCACTGTTTGCAGAGGATGTGATACTATACATAGAAAATCCTAGATACTACCAGAAGACCACTAGAGTTCATCAATGAACTCCATAAAATTGCAGGATACAAAATTAATATACATTGCTATACACTAACAAGGAACTATCAGAAATTAAGGGAACAGTTCCATTTGTCATCACATCAAAAAGAATAAAACACCTAGTAATATATCTGCCTAAGGAGGCAAAAGACCTGCACTCAGAAAACTATAAGACACCAATGAAAGAAATTAATGACACAAACAGATGGAAAGATATACCATATTCTCAGACTAGAATAATTAATACTGTTAAAGTGACCATACTACCTAATGCAATCTACAGATTCAATGCAATCTCTATCAAAATACCAATGGCATTTTTCATAGAACTAGAACAAATAATTTCAAAATTTGTATGGAAACACAAAAGACCCCAAACAGCCAAAACAATCTTGAGAAAAAAATAACAGAGTTGGAGGAATCACACTCTGACTTCACACTATACTACAAAGCTACAGAAAACTGGCACTCGTACTGGCACAAAAAACAGACATATAGATCAGTGGAACAGAATGGAGAGCCCAGAAATAAACCCACACACTTACTGTCAGTTAATCATGACAAAGGAGGCAAGAATATACAATGGAGAAAAGACAGTCTCTTCAATAAGTGGTGCTGGGAAAACTGGGCAGATACATGTAAAAGAATGAAGTTAGACCATTCTCTAACATCATATACAAAACTATATGCAAAATGGATTAAAGATCTAAATGTAAGACTGGATACTATAAAACTCCTAGAGGAAAACATAGGCAGAACACTCTTTGACAAAAATCGCAGCAGAACTTTTCTGGATGTTTCATAAATCAAGGGAAACAAAAGCAAAAGTAAACAAATGGGACCTAACTAAACTTAACAGCTTTTACACAGTAAAGGGAACCATTAATAAAATGAAAACACAACCTACTGAATAGAAGAAGATATTTGCAAATGGTATGACTGATAAGAGGTTAACATCCAACATATATAAACAGCTGATATAACTCAACATCAAAAAAGAAAAAAAACACACATACACAACCCGATTAAAAAAATGGGCAGAACTGAATAGAAATTTTTCCAAAGAGGAAATGCAGATGGTCAACAGGTACATGAAAAGATGTTCAACACTGTTAATCATCAGGGAAATGTAAATCAAAACCACAGTGAGGTATCACTTCACACCAGTCAGAATGGCTATCATCAAAAAGAACACAACGATTGCTGGCAAGGATGTGAAGAAAAGGGAACCCTCATACACTGTTGGTAGGAATGTAAACTGGTGTAGCCACTATGGAAAACAGCATAGAGGTTTCTCAAAAAACTAAAAATAGAACTACCATATGACCCAGCAATTCCCCTCCTGGATATAAATCCAAGAAAACCAAAAACATTAATTTGAAAAGATATATGCACCCCAACGTTCATAGCAGCATTATTTACAATTGCCAAGATATGGAAGCAACCTAAGTGTCCATCAACAGATGAATGGATAAAGAAGATGTGACATATACATATACATATATATATATAAATACACACACACACACACACACAATGGAATACTACACAGCCGTAAAAAGAATGAAATTTTGCCATTTGCAGCAACATGGTTGGACTTAGCATTAAGCTAAGTGCAATAAGTCAGACACAGAAAGGCAAACAGTATATGATATCACTTATATATGGAATCTAAAAAATACAACAAACTAGTGAATGAAACAAAAAAGCAGACTCAGATATAGAAAACAAACTAGTGGTTATCAGTGGGGGAAGGGGAAGGGACAATACAGGAGGGAAAAATGGAGTTCTTATGAAATCATCTGTGTGGAGCTTTTGAAAGTTGTAAGGCACTACAGAATTTAAAGAACTTTTCATTCCATTTTTTAGAAAGGAAAAAAAGTCATCATTTCTAATCTACTAATTCAGAAGAGTTATTCCCCAAATAATCTCACTTAACGTTTTATTAGGACCACTCAAGATTACAAAATAGACACAATTAAAATACTCTATAGTTCAGATTTTTATTTTACACTAATTTCTCAATCCTAGTGAAAATATATTTTTATACAAATACTGAAAAAAAAATAACAACCTACCTATCACATTTTAATTTCTGCCTAAATCAACATTAGCATGCCTTCTCTAACATATGCTGTTATATATAACTTCCTAATCTCTTGCAGATTAAATGAATTCTGGAGCTTCTTCCAAGATAAAATTATATGTAGTTATTTTCTATCAGAAATCAGTCTCAATATGCACAAACACCAAACATCATGGCCTTCCTGAAACTTAACGTGATTTTAAAATTCCAGGCTTCTTGACCCGGATAACACTTCCTTTCTTTTTAATAGTGAGCTATTATCCACTCCAGGAAGCCGCCTCTCTCTGTCCAGCCTGGGCCAGATTTGCCAATTTTCTAATCTCCCAGAGCAGTCTACATTTCTATCGTAACACCTAATATTATAGTGTAAGGAATCACTTTACAAGGCTATAAACTCCTTGAAGGTAGGGGGAACCTATCTGCATAGTTCAGGATTAGATCTGCAGTACTCAATGCATGCACTGCCAATCACAAATATTTATTAAATTAATGAATGAGGTAGGAGTTCATTGACTAGTGGAGAAGACATTATAAATACAGCTAGACAAAATAAATGTGTGGAATAAAGAAAAGAGGATGATTAGGAAAGACTTCACGGTGTTGTCATTTGAACTGACTTTAAAAGATGAGCAAGAACTTCCTAAGTGGCCAAGGGGTAAGCAAAATTACAGAGATATGTATGGGGATGGTGCACTTTCAGAGTCAACAGTAGTCAGAAGTGCTGTGTGTGGAAAAGTAGAGATAAGCAGAGAAGATATCATGAAATTATTTTATAGTGATGCCCAATAACTACTTCTTAATTACAAATACATGCCCACTGAAAATATTTTTTAAAAGAAAAAAATCCACCACCAAAAACAACCATAGTTACTGATACTTAGCCTAATTCCTGTATTTCAAGCCTAAAATTATTTCATAAATATTTTGCCATGTCATTAAAGATTAACAAAATAATTCTTAAGGGCCAAATAGCATTCACTGTATGAATGAACCACAATCTTTTTTCTTTTTTAAACCAACATACAATTATTAGATGTTTAGATTGCTTCCAATTTATTACTATTAAAAAACACTATGATGAACATCCTAAAAGCCAAATATTAATCATATTCCTAGTTATTTTTCTAAGTACATTTCCAGAAAAATATATTGCTAAGTAAAAAGATTTTTTTAAATGTAAGGCTTTTGATACATATAGCCAAATTGTCCTCAAAAGAACATACCAATATCAAGTTCCACCAGCAGTTAGGAGAGTGTCTATTTCTCCAGACCCTTGCCACACAGGTATTTTTTTAATTCTGCTAAGTGCTAGGAAAAAAATACCATCTTGTGTTAGGTTGAAACTTCTGTTTTTAGTAAAGTTGCACTGTTTCATATGAATTGGAGTATTATATTTCTTTTGGGAATTGCTATTCATGTTCCTTGTTGATTTTCTTGCAGTATTATTTTTATTATTGAATTATAAAATCTTTTTATAGTGAGTATAATATACTTTAGTTTTTCAAACA